CCCTTTAGGTAATTAAAAATATAAGTTGTGAGTGAGAGGTAGGGTATGCACTCTTTGCCTCTCTCATATTGGTTTTCTCCTATAATTGTTCTCTCTCCATACTCTGAATCTAATAATTTATGTTTTTTTTGGTGATTTTTAAACTTGCATTTTGATATGCTATGATTTGAATTTTTTTTGTAATAAAAATATGCAAGCACTGGCTATTATTGTTTACAACCATTAGTCATCATGGATTATGTTTTAATTTATAATTCTGATAAGAATTGTAAAGCAAATCTTAGTTAACTATGTGTCATGGATGTATAATTATATATCTTTATATAATAGCAGAAGCAACTTGGATAAGAGTTAAAGAGCGAACCATGAGCCAAAACACCATACAACTAAGTCTATCCACATTTCACTGCCTATAGAAAAAAAGTATCGTAAGACATTCGCATTCCCATACCTGTACCGGTACTCCTACAACGTACCAAATCAATCCCCGATTCAAGTCAGATTTATTTGGAAGCTAAAAGAGGGTAAAATTCATCTTAACCCTTGATTATGGTCAATATGGGATTCTGAATGTCTTGGCATCCAAAAGTATCCTCATGTCTGTAGACAATCCTTTGTGAGGTGTTCCACGAGGGCTAATAATTTGCTTTTGTTGAAAATCTAGGCGCCATACCAAAGAAAATAATATTTTTCAGCATCTTTAAAATTTTCCCTTCATGATGATGAAGGCATACTTTTTACTGGATGTTTGTGAATTTTGACAAAAAAGGATGTGAAAGAATCGTTGAACTGGAGGCGGCAGATGTAATTATATTAGAAGGTCATGTTGCTATCGTGTCCTGATGGCTTTGCCATGCAATCCCTCACTCTTTCCATGACATACCCTGATAAAAGTGGGAATTGAAGTCTCTGTTATGTCTACCAAGAGAGTTTACTAGCTAGTTTAACTGTGCCTTTTTGTTCATGGTTTAATATATTCTGTTGTATCATATGTTTAGATGCGTCACAGGTCCTGGCATCCTATTTATTTCAAGATGCAAAGTGTCTTGTTTGTGGTAACAGCATCATATTTGTACTGCAAGTATATGTTCTACTCTTTATATGAAGCGATATAGCATCTCTTTTCAGAATATATCGGACTAAGTTGATGAAATTTTCATGTACTTGGAATTTTCTTTAATAATGTACTAGACATTTGACATGTGTCATTTGTTGAACTGAATATTCCATCATTCGTTAAAATTTCTTAGATAATGTTTCAATAAATCATATGTTTGAACATACATATGAGATTCATAGAATTGGAATATAATATCTGTTGATCTCTGTGGGAATACATTGAATTTAGTTTTGTGTTTATGTGGCTGCAGTTTGTTGCAAAGAAGCTTGACAAAAGACTTTCAGATCTGGGGGCAACAGCAATTATCGAAAGAGGTCTGGGAGATGATCAGCACCCTTCAGGGTATGATTATAGCTTTTAGCATGCATAGAATACGTTACATGAAGTAATTAAGTGACCTGAGATTATTGCTGGACGAGGGAGTTTCCATTTTCTTTTTGATGTCTGCATATATTAGAGGATTGATAGAAGTAGTCTATCTTGCAACAACAAATGGGATATAACCAATACTATCTGGAAATTCGACCCTTGCATTCGTTTACTGTTCCTAAGGCATTTATTTGCTTCACTTTGAAGTTAGTGTCATTAGATGCTGTTAATTTGTGGGAAAATAGATAATTGGGTATGAATTGTTACTGTTAACGATGGAACCAATAGGCTGGGGTATTTGACCTCTGTATCTGTCTGTTGAACACATTCTGGAGGCATATCGGCCTATATCCCCACCAATGGTTACTCTAAAAGATAGGACCTTGGGTTGAAGGAAAGTAGTACTGCAATCTACTGTACTTTTGGACATAAGATGATCAGATGAATGGTAGCTGCACGAACCTACAAATAATTAATGTTTAATTCAAAAGCGAATAGGATATTGTTTATATGTTGCATTGGATGGACTGTCATCTCTGAAGTTTGGATGCTGCTGAGTCGTTCTACTTGTGCTGGGCTCTGATGTTACTCAGCATCCTTGTTGATTTTATGTTGTGGATGTTTTGGGTGAGGCGGACTATATGAAGCAAGATATTGAGGTTGAGCATTTTCTGCGAGTGTGTTAGATCTGAATCTCACTCATTCTTGAACAGTCACTTCATACTTCTGTTTTCTGAATGATTGTTGTCTCGGATGTCCTCTAGTATTGTTTTGCTGATTCCTAGTACCTTCTGTAAAGCTGTATTTCTGATTTTAGTGTTAGATGTGGCAGGGTTTGCCACTCTAGGTCCATGATTTGTTGTCATGTGAAGAAGTTGGGGAGGGGGGGACATATTCAGATACAGCACTTGTCACAAGGGTTAGAAAAAGTTCTTGTAATGAGGGAATATGTGCTAAAGAGAAATCTATGAAAACATGTATGGGTGATTTTTTTTGTGAGGCTTATGATATTATACTGGAAAAGGTGGGGGTGAGACTTGATTAGAATCGATTGACAAGGAGACGGGAAATGGTGACTCGAGTCATGGAGGTTAATTAGGGAGGAGTAAGCGTACTACTGAAAGACGATTGCATCGAAAAGTTGCATTTGTATAAGGTGATGGAGTTTCTATCATGAATAGTGAATGGAAGCTTTATCAGGGGACAAGGTCTTATAGGAGTGAGATTCTTATCTGTTTTAACCTATCACAATTCACAAAGATACATTATTGCAATGAAAAAAAAAACACAAAATCAAGACAAGAAAAAAGCATTGGTGCGCTAGGAATATTTTTATTTAGGGTTGGATATGGATGATTGTGGCATTATTTAGATGGATACATTGATCCACTGTGCCATAAAAATAAAGAAAATGGATATTTACTTGTTATAGTAATACAAGAGAACATGAAATTTGCAACCATCTAATGTGTTACTCAGAGTTATTTAAGGCGTAAAGCGAACCGAAGCGAACAAGACTCCTAAAGCTTAGGCAAGAAGCGAAACGAACAGTTAAAAAAATAAAATATTTTAGTTTAATTACTGATAAACATCTAAGTTCTAATTTTATATATACTAAATATTTAAATGCAAGTAAAACTAAAAATATTTAAATTAAAAAAATACTAATAAATATCTCAAATCTTAATAATAGTCATAGGTTAAACATTTAAATTCAAACAAATACTAATAATATCCCAAATCCTAATATTTCAAAACATAAGAGACACAATTCAAGCAACTAAAGAAACCATTTCAAGGACTTAGAAATCAATCCTCATCATTAAAGAGACCATCTTCTTCATTATCCTTAGATTCATATCCCTCAGTGTCATCCTCCTTGCTTATCTGAAATTATGTCTTCCTCATTTATGAGAGCAGTCGTCGATCTTTAAACCTTGGTGTTACCCTAGTAGATGGTATTGATCTAGTCCGTTGGCTACTTTCTGCAACTTAGCAACTTCATCCAAAGTCAAAGTATTATCACTAAACACAAGCTCATTATTTTCAAGTGTGTTTGCATCCATTCTCCCAATCAACCACTCTTTGCTATCATCAATATCCTTCAAAGATATTGGATCAATTGTGTCACGGGAATCATATTGGCGTTTCAAAGCTCTATTATACTTAATAAACACCAAATCATTGAGACGAGATTGAGCTAGTCTATTTTTTTTTTTGTATTTGTAATAATTTATTAACAATACACTAAAATTTATAATAAGATAAAAAAAATATAATTGAAGAGGTTTGAGGATGATACTCACATGCTCAAACACACTCCAATTTTGCTCACAACCGGATGCACTACAAGTAAGACTTAAAAACTTTTCTTGCAAAGTTTTGCAAATTTGGAGTTGCAGACCTGTATACACTCCACTAATCAGTTGTGAATAATGAATAACAATTAATTAACTAACATCTTTAAGTAATGATAATGAAATAAACTTGTGGGATAACATAGATTACCTGGTGCCTCGTTGTTCTTTGTCTAACCGTCATGGGCAACTTAAAGAGGTTTTCACCTTTCATGTAAATACTCAACTCTTGACCAATTTTATCTTGTATTGCAGAATTTGGGACCAACCTTTCTAAACATTATATAGGCCATTCATGACTTCTTGATCTTTCTCAACCTCTAGATTGAAATAGAAAGACTCTGGGTTCAAAAAATACCCAGCTGCATGCAAAGGACGATGCAATTGAACTTCCCACCTTCGGTCAATGATTTCAAAGATGTGGTTGTACTTCGCTTCATTACCATTAAAGGAATTAGCAATCGTTTCTTTAGCCCGGTCCATAGCTTCATAAATGTACCCCATGGGAGGTTTCTTCTCACCATCAACCAATCGAAGCACACGAACAAGAGGGTCTGTAAGCTTAAGAAAGTGGACAACATTACTCCAAAATGAAGGCATTAAAATGATTGAAACATTACAAAATACCTCAAAACATTATGAAACACTTCGAAGTATTAGAATTTTGATTCCATCATTAATTCGTTTCGGTCTCCTTGGAAACGGAAACATTTCGGACGATTTGACCATTTTGAAATGAAATTTTGATCCATGTATACAAGATATTTGAATGTTATACACAAGATAATGTGTCATAAGTTAATAATCTCATACTTGACCGTCTTACTTTTCCTGATCAGTCCTTCCAAAGTTAGCAATTACTATTCCTAACAAATATATTTCATTGTTAGTAGTTCTATTATTTTTTTTGTGGCATTTGTCTATATAATGCCTGGCCATCACTGTGAAGCATTCCTTTTAGCAAAAACTGTAACCGGATATAAAGTGTCTCTGTTTAGCACAAACGCAAGGCTTCTATAGGTGGATCTCCTTGTATATCTAAAGCCTTTAAGGTGTTCTGTTGTTCTTTCTAAATTTCTTTTGAATTATTGCAGGTAAAATTCTTTCATGTATTTTTTTGTGTTTTATTTTTAAATTCCTATTTTCATAAGGTTATGAGGTATTTGTCTTGTTCTTTGATCCAATTCCAAATAGGAAAACTGATAGTTGCAATAATCTCCATCCACAGATATGAAGGTGCTCTAGATCCTTGGATGTCCTCTTTATGGGATATGCTATATCAAAAGAATCCAAAATTGTTCCCCAATGGTCCAGGTTTTGTGATTTCAAATATGTATTTGGTGGAGCAACCTAAAGTACAGATCACATATCATGATGCTAATGAAATCGGATCACAATTTTCAAGTACCCAAAGTAATTTGCTTATTTAAACTTCTGTAGAACTTTGAATAACGTGCTTACAGCTAATTGTTAACTTGCTGGATAGTGTTGCCCCTTTTTTATCGTATTTTTATAGTTGATTCCTATGTTGGCATATACTCGAAGGATTGGGTATGTCTTGTGCTGCATCTTGTGAGAGAACGAACTAGTGGAATTTATTGAGATATAAGATAGCTGGAGACAGTGTATTTGCCCATTTGTTGTTGCCTGGAGATGATTCCATACAAGCAATTAAAAACAGAAGGAACGATGATAATTTTTTTTTCCATGAGAAAAAGCTGAAAATTGAATGATTTTATGGTAAACGTGAAATGTGTATTAATCTGGTCCTATAGCGTCCCAGCCATTTATCTAGCTATAACTTCGTTGTTACTGGCCATTCTCCTCGACTCTTTGTGTAAACTATTTCAGTTTTCCCTAAGAACTTAGAAGTGACTCTGTGTGCCCTAATGCATTACGTGTGAGAACAGGACGAAGCTAGGAACTTTAATTTTTTGTTTTATCTTTTATTTATTTTTTTGGGGGTTGTGGGGAGGTAAAATATACACTAAAAATTTGCAAAACTATTTATTGAATTAGCGGTAAGTATTGTTATTTATTAGAAACCTGTTTTTGGTTAGAGGATTTATACTGAAACACTTATTTCACTGGACTAGATAGGTATTCCTACATTTGATTTGTATTCGGCCCTTCTCACTACAATAAGTATGGGCTCCAACTTAGAAATGGAAAATTTTCAGTCATATGGTTGGGAATTAAAAAAAAAAAATTGGGGACTCTATTGAATATAATATTCACAATATAAAAAAGACAACAGAATTTGTGGACCAACTATTGAATATCATATTCACAATATGATAATATTGTGTATATAATTTCATTCACATATACAGAGGGCAAAATAAAATATTACCTTGTTTGTTTTGGGTTTTTTTTTGGGCCGGGGGGGGGGGGAGCAGCTGATTCCTAAGGTTTATGTATGAGACACTAACTTTCTTGGTGCTTTTCATTTTATTCTTGAGGGCTTGAATTCAGGTCTCTATTTGTCCCCAAAATTAACATGATATCAAAGCTTTGTTTCTTGAACTACTTTGGTTCAGATCTTTTTGCATGCATTTGTTTGCCATGTTGCTCATCTGTTTGCAATCTGTTTTGTCTATTTGTCAGCGACTTCATGTGCCTAGAGGGGTCATAAACAAGGGGAGTGTTTGAGTGCTCAAGCTCAGCATACATTATTTGACCTGTCTCTGTTGCTTTTGGGGAAAATTGTTCTCTAACATCTATGTATATCAAATTTGTGGTGGTTGCAGATTTAAAATGTCTTGAGGAGCAAATTGAGAAGGCTCGCTCAATGTCCCCTGGGAGAATTTCACACAATAAAAATAGACCCGACTGCTTTTTAAAAATGGTAGTGATTGCATGTTCAGTACTGTAGATGTTTGTCGTATGCTCTAATTGGATAAATTTTATGTTTCTTGCCAAATCTGTTATAGCATGTTGATAAAAGTGCTGCATCACATCTGGGCAAGGATTTAGTTCTTCCTGCCCCAGTTATCTGACTTATGATCAGAATTCTGGAGTACATCTTCCGTACTGCATTTTTCCTTCCATACTGGATTGGCTCTAACTGAATGCATAAGTGAAATATGTACTTCCCTTTTCTTACAAACAAAAGAGGTTTAAGAAAATAGAAAGTGCCATGTAAAGGTTAGGAAAAGATCACCTCCACCATATTTATTATCTTGCTGTTGAACAACTTGTCCCAGACTTGGAGAGACAAGTTTTCTTGTAGGTATGCAGTGAATACATAAATCATATGGAAACCTCCTAAATATGAGCTTTGGCCATGTAAGCAATATTCTCTATTTGGCCTAGGGTTGTGAAAGAAAAGATGAGAAAGGTAGCTGACAACCAGTAGTTAGGATCAAGTCTACGTTGACTGGAGCTAAATATCTGAATCAAGTCTTTGTTGACTTGAGTTTAACATCTGCAAAGGGATGTATGAAGAAATTACTCTCGTTTTCTTCATAATACCTCATCCTGGATTTACTTCATTTCTATAGATCTTGTTCCAATCCATAATAAGGTCATGGGAGGGTTTTCCAAAGAGCTTGTGCATCCTTCTTATATGGGATTGAATCACTGTCAATTGTAATCGCCTATGTTTGATTGAGTTTTTGGAAAACTGTTTTTTGCTTTTTCATGTGCATATGTAGGTACATATTAGGTCAAACATTAATTACATATAGATATAGGTGCTGATCTCTCTCTCTCTCTTTCTCACACACACACACACACACATACATATGCTCACTCACAGTGGCAGGCACCCAAAAAAAGTTATTATTGTCACATATGATTTATGTGATGTGATGCTAGTCACCAGCTTGTATTCTTCAATTTTGCAAATTCATTGATGCAGATAAAAAACTGTCAACTAACTACAGCAGGGTGTGGGAAAGATGTACGGCACATTGAGTTTGAAGCGGTTTCATCTGTAAGACATGATGTTATCCCTTCTGAGATCAGGACAAGTCTGCCGTATTGTGATTAAAATCCAGCGTTGCTTTTCTGCTTTCCAATTGTTTTGTTGATGTTTGTCAGGCTATTGACTACGAAGTTGGGGATGTTCTTGAGGTTCTCCCTTGTCAAAGTCCTGCTGCTGTGGATGCCTTCATAAAGCGCTGTAATTTGAACCCAGAGTCATATATCACAGTATGCAGTCTCTTATATTTAGTTGCTCGTCATTTTTTCTTGTGTTCTTATTTTGTTGGATGTTGTGATATGGATTTTATATTGCATGAATGCATCTGTTTGAGGTTTGTATTCGTTCCATGTTGTATGATTGCTGTGAAGGGCGGCAACAATTGAGTAAGGTTACCTATTGTACCATACTACAACTGCTGTGATTGCTTTGTCATGTGGAACAAAGGCCAGTTAAGTAGTTGGACTACCATGGTGCTGTTTAAAACTACTGCTAGGACATAGGAAAGACTGAAGGGATCATTGGAGGTTGTCTCTATAGCTAATAATTAATGACCTATGAATTTCGGAGAAAATATGGATCTATTACATGTATTTTTGGAGAAATGCATAAACAAAAGGAAAATCGAATAGAGAAGAGAGAAAGCCTGCTTCGTGGGGGTGAAAGCCTCCAGTGGTTCTATTCTAGGAGAACCCGACCTCTGAAACCTTCACAAGAAAGTTCATCACAATTTCCAAATTTTCTTCTCATTGATAATAAGGCCTATAAATCTAAGATGAAAAAAACTAAATGATAACTAACCTAAACCATACCTCCACTATCTAAGTAACTACAATTACAAACCCCACTAATACCACACCCCTAATCCTCTTAGCAAATAATCTCCTATTAGTTAACTCTAACATTCGAGAACAATACATTCTATTTCCCTTTTAAAAACTTTGTCCTATGTGTCGGGTAGAAAAGGAGGCAGCCAACCCACTTTCGAGTCCTTATATCAATCAACATAATCAACACCTTTAGTCATTTGATCAGTGGATTGTTTGGTGGCAAGTTCATGCATGACTAAACCTTGATGTGTACCAGTTGGCTGCCACGTTGCTCTTCTGGTCAAGTTGGATTGAGTGAAGATGCTAATTGTGTTGCTGCAGCATTGTGCTCATCTGCCACTTGCTCTATGGTTCCAACATTTTTTTTTCCTGTTGCTTCTTGTATGGGGAGATGTATTTTTGTTGATGTCCATCCCAGTCTTCGTTGACAAGATTATATTGGCCTTTAAACTATTTTCTTGAAGGATTTTCCTAGCCCTGTTGAATCCTTGTTTTACGCATTGAATATTCTCAATCAAATTGTTGGACCTTCTTTGAAAATCATCACGCATCAACTTCGAAGGATGGGATAGCAATTAATAGGATGCCTTGCTTCAATATCGATTAATATAAACTAATAGGTAGAACTTGCCTTTGAAAACCTGTTTGCAAGGGAAGGATCCCAAGAGGTTATATACACACATCTAAGTCTATTCTGAACCATGTGGGATCATACATCATGCTTTCATAGTCGACGTCCATGACAACACACTCTATGGATGTGTTTGGATGACGGGTTAGGATTGGCTATGATATCAAAAAAATATCCTTTCCCATCCAAGCCTAACCTATCCAACCACTTGTTGCATTGGATTGGATATTTCCTAGCCAAAGTTTGTTTATCCATCTTTACTTTTGGACATTGGTGATGTGAAAAATAATATTTGGGCGTGTTTTGACTATTATACCCCCGAACATATTCAATCTTACTTCATGTTTGGATCTCAAATTGGCATACAACTATCCTCAAAAGAGAACACCAACTTCCAAATATGAGAATAGGGAGACACAAACACATATATATCATTACAATTACCACAAATGTAAAGGTATCATGTTGAAATTTAATTCAGACGATTGATTTTGATTTGTATAATTTGTAACTATTGATTGAAAAAATAATAAAAAAATAAAAATACACGTGACACATTTTAATTGAATTAAAAATAGATGTACGGTATCAAAAAATAATACTTCGATACTGAAAGACATTTTTTGTAGTAACAAATAACAATATATTTATGACTCCGGACCAAAAGACATTTGTTTTATGTGAGAAATACTAAAATAGATTGCTTTAGTTCTATAAGTTTCTATCGCCAATAAGAATAGTATCAGTGGTAGAACCACTCTCCTCCACCGAATAAAAAAGCAAGTTGACAATCAATGTGTGTTCTTTGGACAATGTGTGGATGATAAAGCTTCCTCTTTGCATTCTCTTCTCTTTGAACAGGAACAATTTCTCTCCCACTCTCCGAAAATGGCACAGTGAGAGATCCACTGTAAAACTTTTCATCGTCTTCATATTTTATGCGTAAACCAAACTCACTTCGATCGCTCTATGGAATATTTTACCGCAAAAGATGGTCGTTGCTAGTGTCGCCCTTCAGTCGCTCCTTTGGTGAAATCACCGTTGCTCGTGTTTTATGGAGAGAGATGAGAGATATATCTCACAATCAGATGTAGTTTCACTCACAGAGTAGTGACAAATGGTGTGCGGATTCGAGTGGATCTAATGGAAAATTTATGTTTTCGGTTGATAGCAGTTGTTAGAGTTCCTCTTTTGTCGTCATAAGTGGCCGCTGGTGGAAGTGGACCAATATGAGAGAGAAGTTTGTTTTGTTGTCTGATTAGAGGTAAATGGAAAATTGAGGGGCAAAATAGTAGTTGGTCAAACATATCAGTGGGTTGGCCTTGAAACCCACCCCCATGGGTAAAAGATAACCCATCTATGTAGGTTAAATGCTATTGTAGCTTTCGGGTCACTTTTTTACCCACCTAGGTTATCCAATGACCAAGTATGCTTTCCAAACATGGGTTAAATGGGTCTCACCATGTTTTTATGCAATGCTACATACATGTGTTATCCCTCTTTAATCCGGCATCCAAACACACCCTATTGGCACTGACCTAGTGGTTGTCCTTTCTCTTTGGTGGCTTCACTCACTTATCGGTATTCAATTGCTTAGTATTATGCCCATACATAATTCCAAGGCATATTAATCCAACTTATAGGTTGTCCCTTCAGTAACTTGACAACAAAGAGCCACAACCCATAGTGCGTTCGATCCCATACTCAAGATGTTGGCTAGCTCTAATACCGATTTTTACGTTCAGTGGTTCAATTAGAGTAGAACTTCACCTCTGAAATCTTCACAAGAAAGTCCATGACAAATTCAACATTTAATTCTCATTAAGTGTAAGGTCTGTAAATACATGATGAAAACAACTAATAGATAACTAACCTAATACATAACTCCACTATCTAAATAACTACAAACTCGAGTACTACTACACCACTAACCCACTTAGCAAATAACCTCCTATTATCTAATTCTAACTTTAAATACAAAAATAGTAAAAGACATGCACATAACAGGATCATGTAAAGGTTTTGGACAAAATGGGGTTCCACTTAGCAAATAACCTCCTATTATCTAATTCTAACTTTAAATTAAAAAAAATAGTAAAAGACATGCACATAACAGGATCATGTAAAGGTTTTGGACAAAATGGGGTTCATGTAAGCTAACCCCATATATGTGTTAGCTTTGTTGACTGTAGTGGATGTCATAGATACTTGATCGGATACCTGCAGGAATCTGTACTCTTGATAGAGCAGGATACTTTTTCAGCATCTTGTATTTTTGTTTTGCTATTTACATTATTTTTGTGCATAACATTGGTTCTTTTGAGTACTTGTTAACTTATGACAAAAATGCATAGACAACTTTTTACATACTTCTTTTCCCAGGTTCAGTCTAGATATATACAGAATCGCCTTGTTGATACTTCTGTAGATAGCTCAAAAGGCCCGGTGAAATTAAAGACTTTTGTGGAGTTAACGATGGATGTAGCATCAGCTTCTCCTAGACGTTATTTCTTTGAGGTGAAAAATCTTCTTTTGACTTTGTTGTTATTGTCCTTGTTATTCTAAAATGTCTTGACTTGAGCTTTATGATTAGTATTGCTCTTGGTGACTTTATCTTGCTTGTCATACTATAGTTTATTCATTGATTCTGTATTTCTGTTTATTAAATTGGGGATTTTTAGTTGGGTTGAAATGCATACATTTTGAGGAAATTAGGTTTGAATATATGACGCTTACATGCTTCGAATATATGACGCTTACATGCCTAACAAGAACAAGTGAGTTTTCATTAAAATATTCTTTCTTAGAAAATTGAATTTGAAATTTCCTTGACAAGTAATTTGTTTGTAGTTCTATGGTAGTCTGCCTTTTTTTTTTTTTTATTTTGTGCACATAATTAAGATGAAGTTTGGATATGTCGTGTATGCAAAGCTCGATCTGATTGGAATGTTAGTACATGATAGATGTTAACATTTGATAATCTAATTTAATCACTCATATTATGTTATTCATTCAGTGAACTTGGTTTCCAAAGTTGGGTTTTTAGTTAACCAAAATTGTTAACATACTGAAATATTTCAGAATGACCCGGAAGGAGAATAGATATTTTTCTCCCTAACTACACTTGGATTGAACAATATATAGAGGAGAGAAATAAAGAATAGCAAGCAGATTACTTTCCTGCTATATGTTACTATTGTTTTCTATATTTGAAAACAGTTATGGGTATCTCAGCAGCTGAAAGGATTAGGCTGTCAATGGATTAGATTCCAATGATCCGATCTGATTTTGATCCCATTATCTAGATATGCTCTGGGGTGTTAGGTTTTCACTGCTCGAATAGGATGTGGATCAGTTTATCTGATAACTGTAAGACTGTAGTTCCAATCCAATAATATTCTGATCCCATAATATTGAATAAATTCTTGATGGAATCGTGGTCTCAGACTGGCTTCTTTTTTTGGGTACTATATACTAGTTAGATCTACAGAAATCTTATGGTGATCTTAAAGCTGTACTCTTTAGGGGATTTGGTGTTCTATCAATTAGTCTCCCTGTTTTCTCTCTGTTCGTATCCTCCATGGAATCCGTAATACGCCATTTCGACAATTATTCTTGGGTAGCCGTGCTAGAGATCTGTGTGGCTTGCCATTGACTCTCTTACTCTTCCTAGCCTAAGCTCAACCTGTAGTTCAAAAATTTTTCAAAGATGCTCACTAAATAGGTGAGTTTGGGCCCTTCTTATTAGTTTTACCTGCCAAGCTGAAGCCTGCATAGAACTGCTTGCATTTTGTTCCTTTTGTATGATTCAGAGTTTGCTGTATCAGCTGTTTTGGTTAGGTTGATCTATAGCAGTGAAGGATTTTCAGTTATTTAAAGCAGCTTTATTTCTGAAAGAAATTCAGGCTGATCTCTAATAGTAAATTGTGGTATTTCTCGTTGTTTTAGAAGCTAACTTACGGAATTTTGGGCTTTCATTTTTTTTCCCCTAATGTTTGTGCTCTTTGCTGTCCAAGAATATAAATCCTTGTGTTCTTGTTTCTCCTCTAAGATTTCTGGGTCCCAAGTTTTAAAATTCTGACAACCATTTCTCCAGGTCATGAGCTTTTTTGCCAGTGCTCAACATGAGAAGGAAAGGCTTGAATATTTTGTCTCACCTGAAGGAAGGGATGATTTATACCAATACAACCAGAAGGAAAGAAGAACTGTTTTGGAGGTATCAAGATTATTAGTCTTCTTCTAACAGCCATAATATGGCTTAGCTTCATTCCCCACCATGTGCTAGATATCTGTCTGTGTTTTCTGGTTGTCTTTTTGTACTTCTGTTTAATTTTCCCTCACTTTGCCTGGGATGTGTGAGATATGTGATTCCACAAAGCACACAGCTCAGGCAATTTCAATCTTCATACAAGTGAAACTGTTTAGTTAAAATATATGTTCTATTTTTGTTTGTTCATAATAACTTCAATTTTGACAATGGGATTGGTCATATACTGATTACTTCCCTGAAAAATAATCAGAAATGTGCTGGATTTTCTCCAAGAATACTGACTTTAGTGTTCCCATAATTTTGCATGACCTGTCTCTCTTGACTGAGCAAAAGAATAACTTAAGTTGAAATGGAACATATTGGTTTTGGGATAAAGCAAAGAACATACGCAGTCCAGTCACATGCAAACAGGAAGTATTTGGTGCTTTGCTTCATCATAATCAAAATGTAGCGTTATCCCATTTCCTTTTTTCCCCAAAAGTAATTTCAAATTTCATTTGCTAAACCAAAATTCGTGAAATGTTGATTTCTTTCCTCGAGGTTTTGTGAAAAATAGTTTTAGGTATGGTCTAGCTTAATTGTTCACATTCTAGTGTTGTAAATGGTCCTGAGAAGATTTATTTAATTTTGTTTTTCTTTTACCCTCAATTGTTTTTATTTTTTATTTTTTTATTAGTGATTTTAGGGAGAGGACAAGTGAGTAGTGGCAATACTGGTGAGTTTTATGAGGGGAATGTGAGGATGCATGTGGAGGACTATTGGTGGTGGAAACCATCCACTTTTGGCCTATCTGTGATTAGGTGTTGTTTACCTTCTGATTTGATGAGGGGAAAAAAAAAAGAAGAGAAAAAAGGGGGAGGGGGCCTTGTCATTTTCTCGGAGTGCTATCTGCATACTAAAGCTCCAAAGATGGTGGTCACCTTTTGTTTGAACAGAGTTCTAGCCGGAGACAATACAAAAAGGAGAATCTGTAATGTTTTGTTCTATCATCTTTTAACCTGTTTTCCATTCTGTCCTCTCTTAAGTGAAGGGGCGTTGAATGAGCAATTCACCATTGAGGGCATTAACCTCAGAGGACAAACTTTGTGGTGTTCTAACAGCGGCAGGTCAAACAAGAAAGTGATGAATAAAATTCGCTGATGAAAAAAATTGCACTTTATCAAAGATTTGGGGGAGTCTGCGTGTCATCTTTATGCCGTTGCAGGGTTGCTAGTTGGCTTTAATGCCTAATCTTTGCTGTCTTTAAGATTCAATGGGAGATGCCCTCCAAACTTACAGATCTGTTAGGAAGGCATACTGACGGGCAAGAGGGAGAGGGCAAACAAAGGCTGGGGTGTTTGCCCCACTGGCTTGATGTGGAGCACTTTAAGAAGGAACGAGATGCCGCTGGTGGAGAGGAGAACCTTGTTTACGTATTAGAGATCGATGCTTGTGTGCTGGTTTTGTTTTTGGATAATATTTATTTACTTTTTTTGTATGTAATTGATTTTGTTTATTGATTGGACCCTTTCAATGATTTCCCTACTGGAAAATTAATTGAATAGATATTTTGCTTTTTGTACTGTAGGTATTGGACGATTTCCCATCAGTGCAATTGCCATTTGAATGGTTGGTGCAGCTGGTCCCTCCATTACAAACAAGGGCTTTCTCCATTTCTTCTTCTAATTTTGCCCACCCTAATCAAGTACACCTTACCGTAAAAGTGGTGTCGTGGACAACACCGTTTAAGAGGAAACGCACAGGTCTTTGCTCTGTGTGGCTAGCTGAACTTGATCCTCAACAAAGTATGAATTTCCGAAATCATAGGATATGAAATCTTTTTTAAATGAAACACCTGAATCTATAAATTCCCATCTATTAATGTTTCTAATTTCTATGCCTTAAGCAGGAGTTTATGTGCCAGCATGGTTTCGCAGGGGTTCTCTTCCCTCCCCACCACCATCTCTTCCTCTCATTCTCATTGCACCTGGGACTGGCTGTGCACCTTTTCGTGGATTTGTGGAGGAAAGAGCCTTGCAAAGTAAATTTGATTCAGTTGCCCCGGTGCTCTTCTTCTTTGGTTGTCAATATAAGGAGAACGACTTTTTATACAGTGATTTTTGGTTGTCTCATTCACAAAATGGTGGCGTCCTTGCTGAGGAGAAGGGCGGTGGCTTCTACGTTGCCTTCTCCAGGGACCAGCCGCAGAAGGTTTATGTGCAACATAAGATGCGGGAGCAGAGCACCAGATTGTGGAATTTGCTCAGTGAGGGGGCTGCTGTCTATGTTGCAGGTTCTGCAGACAAAATGCCCGCGGATGTATTGTCAACCGTGGAAGAAATTATTTCTAAAGAAAGTGGGGTTCCGAGGGAAGCTGCTGTGAGGTGGCTTAGGACGCTGGAAAAGGCCGGTAAGTACCATGTTGAAGCGTGGTCGTGACCCTGCTCAAACCTTGTTTTCTAATGGCGAATCTTGTGGAGGAGAGTGCAAGCAGTGATTTTGAAATAGTTACTCAATGATGGATGATTTATTGTAGAGAAAAAAAATAAGAAAAATGTACTGGAAGAGATTGAGATTTTAGAATTTTTAATTGATCTTAAAAGACACTATTGGATTATAATTTAAGTTTCATTTGTATGATGGTACTCTTGATTAACAATGATAATTGCATTCTTAAATCCATTGATTCATAATTTTGGTGGATACGCTCCATTCATAATCAATGACGAGAATCTCGTATCTATTTTGATTAGGTATTTTTAAAAGGAATAAAAATCCAAAAATCAAGTTCTTTCTTGAAATTTAGATTATTCTTAAATAACAATTTTCTTCTCAAAATCAAGTTCTTTCGTAAAAATAATTATGAATTAAATATTAATTCTCATATTAAATCAACAAAATAACTAAACACGAAATATAAAAATACTATATTAGTTGAAATTCATATATTCCTTCTTTATGATGCTATTTGGTCGTTTTGAAAAATAGATGGATGAAAAAATGAGAGTAAAAGAAACATTTTCCATTGTTCGGTGATGGAGGAAAAGTGAGGGAAAAGGAAAAGTGTATAAGGCTTTCCATTGGATCGAACAATTTTTGATCCACCCAAATGTGAGTGAAAAATGGGAGAGAAAGGTTGGTTGCTAGATGTTGAATATGTTAAGAACAATGTTATTGAGACATAATTTGAGAAAATAATTTAGAGATTTAATGATTATGACTATTAGATTGTCAGTGAGTTCCACTACTACATTATTAGTGAGTCCTAACACTATCAATTCAATGGTCATTATGCATTAAGTTTCCAAATTATGTCACTAAATTGTATCTCAATTGCATTAGTGATATGTTAATCTGCATTTTATTCTCCATAAAATGCCATTTCAAGTACCATTTTCTAAATAAGTTTCAATTTATTCTTAAAAAGGAATTGTGGTGCGAATGAAACATTGCAAGATAACTTAGACTCTTCGCTTTGTGAGTGATCATCGGCGAGGCAATCGCAGAAGAAACTTTTGCCGATGGCTCAACCTCTTCACCTTAATGGAGGTTTCCTGTGTGTGTATGCATTTAAACAATTTTTGATGCTGAAATTTTCAATTTGTTAAGAGTAGTGAGGCATGAGAAACCGAGGCTTGTATTGAAATTCATTTAGATGAAAATCAATCTTTTTTTTTTTGGGGGGGGGGGGGGGTTGCACTGGACCTAATGAGTTGATTGAGAATTGCTTAGAGTAATGCTCGAAAGTAAGCCCTCGGTAACCTAGAAGCAAATCATTATTCTTTTTAATCGGGCAACTTATCATCAATTTATTGAAACTGAATAGCAGCGATTTAGGGTAAGCTTTTTTGCATCTTGGTAGTTTTGTAATCTAAGTGTTTGATGCTGTAGGTTCAAATTTAGTTGTGTATTCGTATTTGTTGCATTGGAGAGTTTTTTTTTCTCTCAAATTATTTGTTAATATGCATTGTGTTTATGTTTCTGCTAGGTATACTTCATTTATTAGGACCTTAGATGAATTTCATTTCTTCGATTAGATCAATATTTGTTAATGAACTTTCAAAATAGTACATTTTGCTGAGTAATTGTTAAAATCCACAGCAAGACAGCCACAAGGTAAGCCAACTCCAACGCAACAAGCCAACATAGCACAACAAAATCCAAGCACATTAGAAGTCATACAAATGAATATATTGGAAGAATCCAAGGGCACAGGAATGAACTGGAAGTTAGTTAGGGAATTTTCTTTTGGGGTTAATTAAACTAATGGTCCATGAAGTTTACAACTTATTAAACTTTCGTCCCAAAAGTCCCAATTTAGTCAATTTAGTTCTCAAAATTTGGGTTTTGAACCAAAGTTGTCATTCTCCCTAATTGCCGTCCAAATCTTTGACGGAAAACAACACGTGCACAACAGGTGTAGAAGACAAAAGGGCATCACTATCTTTTCCCCTTATTTTCCCGCCCATCCAACCACCTTCAGGTCACGTGTGATGCACATTGTGAAAGTAATGAATCGTCACTGTAGACAAGGGAAGAGAGACCATCCGTCATTTGTCTAGGGTTGTAAATGAAATTGGGGAAACTGGAAAAATTGGGTTTTGCAGCGCTAAAGTGCACCGTCTTCAGAGAAATGAAGGTTGACTACGATTATTGGAAGGTTCAATGAGTATCAATTGGTGGGACGATTGTTTTATTGAAGCTTACGGTAAACATTTAGTGTTTTCAATTTGGGTTGAAGATGACATTTTGCAAATTTCTTTTAAAAAAAAATCATATTATAGCAACTAGTTGCATGCAAAGAACTATGGGTTTGAGTGTGTTCCAATCAGTTGTTGCATGCATGGCCCTAAAAATGAACTAATATAAAACTAATGTTGATGTTATGTTGGTGTAGCGGGTCCTTTAATACACTTATATAAAACTCAGTAACATGTGGTCCCCCATTTTTTTTTTGTTTTGTGTTGTAGAGAAAGATTCCAAATATTTTACATTAATATTGCACCATAATGGTGAATTCCGAAAGAACCCAAGGGTGGTTTATGAGGGGGGTTAGGTTGAATACTTCCACCACAAACACCTAGATTACATGTCATTGTTGAGCTTGATGAAATGGCTAAGCAGTTAGGATACGAATGGGAGATTCTGAGGTATCATTACTGTATACCAGGAAAGGACTTGAATTTTGGGTTAATTTGTTTGTTTTAAGACACACAGGTATTCATTGTTTTCAATACATTGTTTACATAGAACATCGAACAATCGAGGATGTTATTGATGGCCAAGACTTCGCAGAAGATTATGTTGAAAAGAGACATTCAATTGTAATTGAGGAGATTAATGAAGATATTGTGGATGGGTTAGAATTTAGTCAGGTTATTGAAGTTCCCAAGATAGATAACTGTAATAGAAAAAATTTGCTAGAGTATTCTGAAGTCAATGCAAGTGGTGATGCTGGAGAAGAAGAACAGAGAGAGTCAATGGAGGATAGGACTAGAGAGTCAATGAAGGAGAGGACAAGAGAGTCAATGGAAGAGAGAATGACATGCCTCAGGAGAGAACCAGGGAGTCAATTAGGGATAATGATAGATCTGATTATTCTGACTTTTATGATAATGAATATGATCTTGATGAGGATGACAGATTGTATAAGACAAATATGGATAAAGATGTTGAATGGGCTGGTGTAGGTGATAAGGGTAAGGGTGTGAAGGATGGTACCTCAGCTTTTCATGGTACAGATGAAGAGGATGTACATTCCGACTATGCAGGTTCAGATGAATTATGTAGTTTTGATTATTCATCTTCAGAGGATGTTGGTGTCAATGTGAGGAAGCCAAAGTTCCTTGAGTTTAGAGTTGCCACTGACATGAAAAACCCATCTTTCAAGCTAGGAATGTTGTTTGGAACAACTATTGAGTTGAAGGCAGCAGTAAGGGAATATGCAATTAAGGAGGAAAAATAACTAATATTCAAGAAAAATGATCATGTTAGGGTTAGGACAATCTATAAAGGGAAATTTAAGTGGTTGTTATTTTCATCTGTCATGGAAGATGGGAAAACATTACAGGTTAAAACATTCAATGAAAAACACATATGTGGAAGATCATTTCACAACAAGAATGCAAACTCAACTTGGATTGCTAATACATATGTGGATGATATTAAGGGGAATCTTGCATGCCCAGTGGATGCCTTCATAGAGAGGATAATTTAGGATCACCAAATTACTATAACACCTCATCAGATTTACAGGGCAAAAAGAAAGACAAAGATAATGATTGAAGGTAGCCATGCAGAGCAATACTCCAAATTATTTGAGTATGTTGAGGAGTTGGGGAGGACTAATCCAAACAGTACAATAACTATAAAAATGGATGATTTGTTAGAGTTGGAAGGTGAGCCTAGGTTTGAAAGAATGTATATTTGTTTAGATGCATCGAAGAAGGGTTTCAAAGAGGCATGTAGACCAATATAATGTTTGGATGGTTGCCATTTAAAAGGTCCTCATGGTGGCGTATATGAAGGCTTATGGGAGCAAGATTAATCCCATTAATGGGCAGAAGTTATGGCTTACATGCACTTAGACTCCCCCTTTACCTCCATGTTACCATAAATAACCTGGGAGGTCAAAGACACTAAGAAGAAAGGAACCAGAGGAACGAACCAATTCAAATCCAAATAAGCTGAGAAAGTTCCAGAATTCTTTAAGGTGTGGGAAATGTGGTGTGAGGGGACATAATAAGAGAAGTTGTAGAGTTGCTATGATAAATCCAGCCATAGGTGATAAATATAGGTGTAGGGGCAAGTGTTGAGGCTGGTACAGGGGCTACTGCAACTGTTGGAACAAGTGTAGGGGCTACTACTGTAACTGTTAATGTAAGAAGAAAGAGAGCCAACCAGTAAGGTGCAGGAACAATGTCAAGTGGAGTGCCTACTGCAGGAGCAGTGTCAAGTGGAGTGACTGTTGTAGGAGCAAACACATATGGAGTGACTACTATAGGAGCAAACACATATGGAGTGACTGGTCTAGGAGCTAGTACAACCAATGTTTCAAGGAGGAGAGGTAAGTTGGCTGTGAGGAGGAACAAAATGAATCACCAGCCACAACACCAGCCAGACCATTAGCCGTAACACATGACTCACATTATCCAAGAGGAGCTTAGTGACTATTGGTGGAATCCAAGAACTATTGTGTTAGGGTTTAATCTTCCTTATTTTGATAGTACAATTCTTTTGGTAGTGAACATGTTGAATGTAATAGGTTCTTAATGTTCCCTATTTTATGTACTAGCTAATGATACAAGCATCCTTTTGGAAGTGAACATGTTGAATGTAATATGTTCTTTTTCGTCAATGAATAGGTTGTGTCCTCAATGCGATAAGATACACTTTCTACATTAACAAAGTACAAAACTGGTATCTTAGCAACTACAACACCCATAACCAACAACTTCATTTTACAATGGCATCTGACAAAGTAAGTAGAAGCAAGTGAGTACAAGCAAGTAAGTACAACAACTTCATTTTGTTAACATCCATAACCAAGTAAGTACAAGTAACAACCACACAACTTTCTCTCTCCGTTGAGATATGGTCAGCTTCCTTTCTAGCATTGTGATTTTTTTGAGTAATCCGGGTATGATATTCTTTGATCGCATACACATAGGAGGATCATGCCACACAAAATACCCACATCCGCCATTTCGTTGCATATTCCAACAAAAAACAAGTTAAACAAAGATTGTTGTTAACTTTCTCTCACATCCAATGAATCTTCTTCTTGGATTTAAATTTGTCCAAGACGTTAACATTCGAGCCTTTCTCCCACACTTGCAGTATGTCTGATCCATATGGACCTTGGGATAAAACTTTGCTTCGTTCTGTGATGAAACTTGGCTTGGCTTGCAACTTGTCTTGTTCTGTGATAAAGCTTGCCTTGGTTCACCTCACTGAAAGTTGCCTCTATCAGACATATATTAGGGTTCCTCAATCAGATATATAATGGGAGAGAAAATGGTTGGTTGGGCGGGAAAATAAGGGAAAAAGATAGTGACGCCCTTCTGTCTTCTACACGTGTTGTGCACGTGTTATTTTCCGTCAGAGATTTGGATGGCAGTTAGGGAGAAGGACAACTTTGGTTCAAAACCCAAATTTTGAGGGCTAAGTTGACTAAATTGGGACTTTAGAGATGAAAGTTTAATAAGTTGTAAACTTCAGGGACCATTAGTGCAATTAACCCTTTTCTTTTGTGTATAAAGCATTTAGATAGATAGTTTTGGTTTACAATTTTGTGTGAACTACTCTTGTAACTAGTATATACATAGATGTACAAAATTTTGTATTAGCTACAGTTTTTGATGAATGAGAAAGAATCTTCCCCTTTTTCTTCATTTCTCTTCCTTCCTCCATAGTTATCTCCATTCTGTATTTTTTCATAGAAATTCTAACATGTATCAAAGCAGTAATGGTTACCACAACACTAGAAAATCCTAACAACTATTCTATTTCTAGATCTAACAATGCTACGATTAACATTAATTCGAAAAACTCTGCTAGACCATACTTTCTCAATCCAAATGATGGACTAGACATTTTTTTCACTAATCATCTTCTCACTGCTAATAAGTAACCACTCTTGGGTTCGAACTGTTCGAAGGTCACTTTGAATCAAAAGAAAATTTGTCTTCATTGATGAAAGTCTTTGCAAGCCAACTGATCCCAATGATCATTTAATAGATTCATGGCTTGCATGCAATGATATGGTGGTTACTTGACTCCAGAATGCAATGTCCTTGAAAATAAAAAATAGTGTGGTGTATGTGGAAACTACAAATGAACTTTGGGTAGATCTAGAACAAAGGTTTGCCTAGAATAATGGACCAATGATTTATGAGCTAAAACAATTAATTCATTCTCTCTCTTAAGGGGAAGACTCTGTAAGTATATACTTCTCAAAATTGAAGGATTATTTGATGAATTTCTGAATTTTGAATTCATACCATCTTGTACTCGTGGAGCAATGAAAACTGTTCTTAAAAATCAATAACGAGATTGGATTATGAAGTTTCTTATGGGCTTGAATGAATCTTTTACAAATATTAGAGTACAAATCATTTTAATCAAGCCAATGCCTAGTTTGAGTTAAGTTTATGCTCTAGCTCAACAAGAGGAAAAACACAAACAGCTCACCATAGGGCTTAGTGTGAATGATTCTTTTGCATTAGTAGCAATAACTAATTTCACTGCTAACAGAGAGAACAATTGACAATTTGGATGTTAGAAGAGATAAAGACCTTACTGTACCCATTGCAAAACTTCAGGTCACTCACAGGAGAGGATTTTAAGGTTAATTTAGAGATAGAAAGGTCATTTTGTATTCATTGCAGCATTACTAGACATTCTATTGAAAAATGTGACAAGCTCCATGGCAATCCACCAGGCCACAAGATGCATAACAAGACCAAGGCATTTGGTTCATCACTAAACCAAGCCAGCACAAGAAATCAAGATCAGAACAAAGAAGGGTCACATGCTACCATTACCAAAAACAATATCAACATCTCATGGCCTTACTCCAAATTAAGATTCCATATCCTTCTGCCAATCAAATTCAATTAATCCTAAGCCCACTGTTATGACTGGTATCTTTTCTTATTCATCAACTTCTGAAGTCAAAAACAATATCAACATCTCATGGCCTTACTCCAAATTAAGACTCCATATCTTTCTGCCAATCAAGTTCAATTAATCCTAAGCCCACTGTTATGACTGGTATCTTTTCTTATTCATCAACTTCTGAAGTCATGCATTTAGATATTACCAAGGTCCCTTGGATTATAGACACACGTGCAATCGATAATATGATCTGTAGTATCTCTTTCTATACATTTGCACCTATCAGTCTCTTACAAAGTGAAACTCCCTAATGGTAATTTTTCAGAGGTAACAAATTCAAGAACTATCAAAATCAATGATATCATCTCTTTTAAAAATGTATTATACATTCTGTCTTTCTATTTCAATCTTTTGTCCACCAGGAAATTATCACAAGATCTCAATTGCTATTTACTTTTTCTGAAAAATGAGTGTTTCATTTAGGACCTTTTCACTTGGAGCACGATTGAGGAAGGTGAGGTTCACAATGACTTGTAACTGCTCAAGATGGCAACAGTTCCTTATACATCTCTTATTGCAGCTTTATCTATTGAACAACCTTTCATTTTCGCTTCTATTTCTCATCATTCTGATTATGATTTATGGCATTATAGACTAGGACACCTTTCAGCTTCAAGACTTTCCTTGTTGAAAAATGATCAACCCAATATCAAATTTATTAGGTTCCTTGTTTAGTTTATCCATTGACAAAATTTTCATAGACTTCTATTTACTAATAAAGAGTATAAAATACATAACCCTTTTGATTTGATTCACTCTGACATATGGGGACCTTGCACTCATATAGCTTATGTTGGTTCTAGATATTTTCTTAACATTATTGATGATTTTACAACATGTACATAGCTTTACCTAATGAAGACCAAGTCTGAAACCAGACCACTTCTACAATCATTCTATTCACTCATAGAAACCCAATTCCAAGCCAGAGTAAAAAACATTAGAACAAACAAGGGAAATGAGTTTGGTATGATAGAATTCTATATAGAAAAAGGGATCATTCATCAAAAAAAGTTTTGTAGAAACACCACAACAAAATAGTATTGTTGAGAGTAAGCACCAACATATTTTGAATGTGGCTAGAGCCCTCATGTCCCATTCAGCCATCCTTGCTGAGTTTTGGAATGATTGTGTGCTAATTGCTGCCTATTTGATAAATAGAACCCCATCTCCCAACTTAAAAAACCAATCCCTATAACACTTCTTTTCAAAACCAAACCAGAATACAATTACCATAGGATTTTGGGTCTTTATTCTATGCTTCCACACTTAAACAAAACCTACACAAATTTGATCCTAGAGCCAAAAAATGTGTATTTTTGGGTTAACCTTTTGGAGTCAAAGGTTATAAGTTGATGGACCTAGATAATCATTCAGTTTTCCATTCAAGAGATGTTGTGTTTCATGAAAACATCTTTTGCTATAAACACAAATCATCTATCTCCCTCTTTTGATATTTCTCCACCTTCCACATCTTTTCAACCATTTTCCATAGAAAATGCATATGTACTAGGTCTAATCCCTTCAAGTCCTTTTGACATTCCCAACAATGATACACATCCATTCATTAATACACAATCTATATTAGAGGATCTTTTTATTCCTCCATCTCATATTAACAGTCCAGCTCACACTTCCATTTCTGCAGAGAGAAAAAATACTCATCTTTTTCATAGATCCAACAGAGTAAGAAAAAGACCAGAATACCTTACAGATTACTACTGTTAGCAAGATTTTGTGCCTCATTCTTCTAAAGTAGTCACCACAAGCTCCAAACAATTAGATCATTCTTACCCTCTATCCTTCTTCTTATCTCATGACAAACTTTCACACGAGTATGCATTGTTTGCCACATTAATTTTGAACCATTACAAGCTTAATAATGGTGTTAGGTCTTTAGAATGACATAAATCCATGGATAGTGAAATTGTAGCTTTGGAATAAGATAATACTTGAGAGCTCACATATTTACCAATTGTTTCAAAATGGCTGTACAAGATTAAGTACAATTCAGATGGGAATGTGGAAAGGTATAAAACTCGTTCAGTGGCAAAAGGTTACTCTCAACAAGAAGGACTTCATTATCATGAGACTTTTTTCTTGTTGTCAAGCTTGGAACAGTTAGAATTTTGCTAGTAGTGGCTACAATTAAGGGCTAGGTTTTACATTAGTTTGATGTGAACAATGCTTTTTTACATGGGAAACTCGAAGAAGAATTCTCTATGTGGCCACCTCCTAGATACTTTGTTAAAGAAAAGGCCAAAGTTTGGAAGTTAAAGAAAAGTCTATATGGCCTTAAACGGTCCTGTAGGCAATGGTATGTCAAGTTTTCTTCATCCTTAATTGATTGTGGCTTTGCTCAATCACATGCAACTTATATTTTATTTGTCAAGAAGACA